AAAAATTGTAAAAATGTTGGCATTTGACTTTGTTGCAGTTTTTTATACCCTACAACACTATGTGTTGGGGGTATTATAAGTTTGATTGGGCCAAAAATTATGTAACACTTCGAAATATTGGTTTCTCACATAGGAAAGTATATATGGGTCCTCCTAGCTCGCCGAGCTGAGTCGATCTAGCTGTATATGCCTGTCCGTCCGTCTGTCCAGGTCGCAATTATGAACCGATCCACACGAAATTGAAAATGGAGGTGGGGTTAGAGTCAGAATAGAACCCTATTGTTTTTGGAGATGATCGCACAATATTTAGGGGTTTAAATGGACCAAAAACAGAAATTTTTCCTGATTTTGCAGTTGCTCTATATACCACAATTATGAACCAATCGACGCGAAAATTTACATTGAGTTAGAGCTTGGGACTGACCAGAACCTACCGGCCATCGGACAATAAATAGCGGGTAAAATAGAACCTAACTTTTACGTTAGAAAATAGGAAAATTTCCACTAAACCGCGAATATTTTTAGTCCCAGCCAAATCTCCAATTTATTAAAAGATCACTTCTGACCATTACAGTGATGCTAATAGCCAATAAATCGGATATATAGCAAAATACGTACAATACATATGTAAAAGAATTTGTCTTATTTATTCTGCTTATAAATCAAGAACCGCTGGGCCGATTTTCACAATTCCCATCAATTTGAAATGGTCTCTTGACAGAAAAAGATAAAATCGAAGAAAATTGCGGGATAATATACCAATAAAAAAGTTATATCTTTTGTTTCATTTTTTTTTTTTCATTTTTGTCATATTTTTTTATCGCATGCGATTTTTTCAATTTGACTTACAATTTTGAATTTTAAATTTTCTAAATTTTTTCACCCTCCAACACTACGTTTTGAGGGTATTATATGTATGTCGCAATTATCGTCCGATTCTTACGAAATTTTGCATGCGGGTAGGGTTAAGAGGTTTAAATGGCTACAATCGGCACGAAATTTCGCATCGAAAGAGAGTTGAGGACAGAGAAGAAGTCTAGCATTTTGGATGACCATTGGATTATATTTAGCTGTAAAATGGACCACAACTTTCGTGTGCAATTGTTTTGAATACTTCACAACACTACGAAATGCTTAAATATTGGCCAAATTCTCCTAAGGGTAACCTCTGGGCAGGGCTCTTTGGCATTATTTAAAAACGAAATCTTCCAAAATGGATTTGGATATAAAGGGACTTCGAAGATATTGTAGTGTTGTAGGGTATCACATGGTCGGCCCGCACGTCTATAGCCTTTGCTTACTTGTTTTATCTTAACCTGTATATGGGAGCTATATCCAAATCTGAACCGGTCTTGACACTTATTTTCGACCTGTAAATGATATCTGTTTTCAAAGATCATTGTTGTGGAGTATAGACATATTACACATGTGAGGGACATAAAACCCCAAATCGGATAAAGCATTTTTCCATATTTGATGTACTTGCTTCAGGTCATTTGGAGTGATATTGGTCATTTATTGCATAATTAACCCGAAATCGATTGAAGATATATGGGAGATATATCTAAATCTGATCCGATTATCATCAATTTCAATAGGGTTCGTCATTGGGCCAAACAATTATTGTTTGGAGAATTTCATTTCAATCGGACAATAAATGCGACCTGCATTTTGTTCACAAAAATACATGGACATCGCCCGGACGGAGCACATAAATCGACTCAGAATGTGATTCTATGAAGCTCCTCAATAGTAACTATGGGTCTATCTCGCTTCCTTCTCCATGTTACAAACAAATGTACAAAGACATAATACCCTTACCACCATGTGGTGTAGGGTATAAAAAACGAAAACTAATACGACAGCAACATCAATCATCAAACGGCTTGACTTTTGCCTATGTTCGCTTTTATATTAATTCCAATAAAAATTACTCTCGCTTGCTTTTTATATTCTAAGCTTCAAAACTATGCAGTTGTGAAAAAAAATCATACCTGACAAAACCGCAGCTACAAGTGAATCGTTTTCTCATAGAAATACTAACAAATTATTTGTTTTGTTCATCCGTTTGTTTTTTTTTTTTTATTGATTCTCTTATTTTGCTTATTTGCAAAATTTGTTTTACTGCTATGATAATGAAACGCTTCGTGGTTGTTGTTGCTGCTGCTGTTGTTCAGCATGAATGAATGCATTTGTCGATAATGGGCTATGCCTTCGAGACCTGTTGTGACACACAAGCATACGAAAAGATTCATCAGCTCTTATTTCATCATTTTTTAGTGATAGATGTTCGTCGTATCTCTTTCGAAGAATGAAGATAATTAAATTGAACAAATTTGCAAAGTTTTGAAAATATATTAGCCGATGATTTATAACAAAGTAACAAGATTATGTGTGTTATTCATTGATAATCTATCTGACCACAACAATTAACAAAAATTAAAGTCACTCATCGCAAGATTGTCGCCAGGTGTATCGAAATGTTTTTTTCTTGATCTTGAAAAATTGGTTGCATTTTTCTGCAAGGAAGGAGGTCAATAAATTTTGTGGAACAATATGATTTTACTCTCTTTGAGAAATATAGAGATTGAGTGTCAATCCGAGTTCAGACGTGCCCCACGGCGTTTTATAAACACATGATTCTTCCATTAATGTTGTTATCTATAATATGTTATATAGAATAAGGAAATTTCTATCACTTGCGTTTTTTTAGTATTTTCAGGACATTAGTATTGAATTTAATATGCATACCCTCTATCATTTTATGGAGGCTATATTAACTTTGTTATTCCATTTGTAACTCTTAGAAATACTCTGTCGGTCCCTCTGTCTGTTGTAATCACGTTTTACACACATGTGTATTTTTCCAGTAAATGGACCATGTCGGTCTACATTTTCGTATATCTCTAATATAAGATACCTCCCGATATTCTATATTTTTATGATATTAGCGACATTATTAACCGGAATTGTTTCAAGTTTCATATTTGAATTCTGGAATCGGTACTACAGCCTATGACAAAAATTCCTTATGCAGGACCAAGCCATCGTATAGCCGATCTTTTCCTTTTTTTTGAAATTCCTTCCAAAAGTTACAGTGTATTCAAAGTTCGACCGTTCGTTTTTAGACTGCTTTTGGAGGTTCTCGCAAAATTATACCCAAGGACTCCATTGACTTTTACAAAAATTGGACTTTTATAAAAATTTTGGTGATTATTTTAAAAAATGGAATATTTTGGAACATACCTTAAGGATCCTCAAAGCTATAATTCTGGGCTTTTCAGAATACATATTAAGGATCCTCAGAACTATAATCCTGGATTACTAGGCCCTCAGTGCAATAATACTGCATTATTATGAACATATTTTCAGGAGCCTCAGAGCTATAATTCTAGATTTTTAGTAATATATGTTTAAAGGACCCTCAGAGCTAAAATATTGTATTATTAGGAACACATTTTTAGGAATCCTTAGAGCTATAGTCTTGGATTTTAAGGAATACACAGGGTGAGGTAAAAAAACTTCAACAAAGTCAAACGCCATAATTTATACATTGAACTAAAGTCGGAAAAATGTCGGAAATAGCATCAACGTTTATAATAAGTTTAGATTTGTTCGAATTGGTCACCTTTGTACGAATTAAGGCCTTCACACGGCCCATGAAACCGTCACACCCTGCCTGAATGTTTCTCTGTGTTATTTTGGCCCATTCCTGGCCAAGTGCTTGCTTGACGTGATCGACACTATGGTATTTTTTAATGCCAACCTTGCTTTCCAAAATACTCCAGACACAATAGTCCGACGGATTGGTATCCAGAGATTTTGGTGGCCATTGTACGTTGAAAATGAAGCGAGATACCTCATTTTGTAAATATTCATGGGTGGCGCATGGTCTGCGGTCAAAATGTTTGCATGTCCATGGCTTTAATACACCCTCCAGAATATTTTTGCGACAATATTCGGCATTTATCCTGATGCCACGGTCAATTATTACGAGTGCAGAGCGAGCATCGGCGGTTATGGCGGCCCACACCATCACCATGACCGGCGCTTGAGTTCTGATGGCCAACCAAGGTGCACATTTTCAGCTGACTCTTTGGCAAATAAGCATGATCATTTCGTTTAGGCAACGAATATTTTCTCATTGAAGAAAAGCAAATTCGGCAGTTCACAACTTTCGGCCAAGCGAAGCTTTTGAGTCTATTTTCTTTCTATTGCGGTGTAAGTTTTTGCACTTTATGGAATTTCAATGGCTTTACCCCGAGCTCATTTTTGCAATATTGGCCAAATGTAATATTGCGATATGTTCAGCTCATGAGCCATTTTTCGGCCACTGCGACGCGGGTTTCGATCAAGTCGTTTCTTTATTTTTCGTACCATTTCCGCTAATGTTTCTGTTTTCTTCCGTTCACTTTCCTTACGTCGGGCTACACTATTAGTATCACGGGAACGAGCGATGGTACGAGACACAAAAGATTTATTCACATTTAAATGCTGGAGTGCTCTAACTTGTGGTTTTCAAGTCAAATATAAAAAAATCACACTATCACGCTTGAATTTCATCACGAATAACTTATTTTCAGGAGAATTCTCACCAAAATGCTTTTATATGCTTGTAAACGTGGTTTTTAATTATTTATTCAAAATCTATGCAGCATGGTTTTTTGATTGTTTTGATAGTCATTCTGATATTACAAGCCAAACAGGTAGACATCGACACTTGAAAATTGTTCAAAAAACTTGAGCTTCTTAACAAAATAAGAAATGTTGCATTACAAAACATTTTTAATATCGGTCCATATTTCAACAAAAGCCCAGTATAGAGGTCCGGGATAATTTGAATGTTATGAAAGCTGCTCTCAGTACTGGAAAGACTTTTAATTTTGATTATTTTTTACTAATACAAGCCCATATCTACACCCAGAGCCAAAGACCTTTATATTAAATAAAAATAAAAATATTTTTTTTGTTTTAATTTTTGTATAAAAAGGTATTTATTGTATAAAAAATTTCTTCTAATCTAAACTAAGTCATGATATCAAAAAACAACGTTATGAAACAATTAAAATCGCATGTGTATGTGTGTGTGCGTGCAATGAACTTGTTAATTTAACAAGCAAGTTGTGTGATTGTGTGTTGCAGTTCCAGGAACACAAAACTAGACATCCCATCTCAGCCGATGAATTTAGAAACGGAAACGCTTGAGAGGAGCATCGTAGTTATAGCCACTGGAGCCGGAGGAGGAAGAAGATCCTTGCTGTTGGGGAGGCAAATATTCGCTGGAAGGAGCGGCAGCTGCGGGAGCAGAGTATTGTGGTGCTGGAGCGGCAACTGGGGCAGAGTACTGTGGAGCTGGGGCAGCTTGTTGTTGGGGAGGCAAGTATTCGCTGGATGGGGCAGCAGCAGCTGGGGCAGAGTATTGAGGAGCTGGAGCAGAGTATTGTGGAGCAGCAGCAGCAGGGGCAGAGTATTGAGGAGCTGGAGCTGGGGCAGAGAACGATTGTTGGGGAGGCAAGTACTCATTGGAAGGAGCAGCAGCAGCGGGGGCAGAGTATTGAGAAGCAGCAGCGGGGGCAGAGTATTGAGGAGCAGCAGCAGGGGCAGAGTATTGAGGAGCTGAAGCAGAGAAGGATTGTTGAGGAGGCAAGTACTCATTGGAAGGAGCAGCAGCAGGGGCAGAGTATTGAGGAGCTGGAGCAGAGTATTGAGGGGCTGGAGCGGGGGCAGAATACTGGGGAGCTGGTGCGGAGTATTGAGAACCTGAAGCAGAGCTCGAGAAAGATTGTTGGGGTGGCAAATACTCATTTGAAGGAGCAGCAGCTGGAGCGGAGTATTCGGGAGCTGGAGCAGAGTACTGGGGAGCTGGAGCTGGTGCAGAATACTGAGGTGCTGGGGCAGAATATTGAGGAGCTGGAGCTGGTGCAGAGTATGATTGTTGTTGTTGTTGTGGGGGCAAGTATTCGCTTGATGGTGCAGCAGCAGGAGCTGAGTATTGAGGAGCAGGTGCAGAGTATTGAGGAGCCGAAGCAGCAGCAGAATATTGAGGAGCTGGAGCAGGGGCAGAGTATTGAGGAGCAGGAGCTGAATATTGTGGAGCAGCAGCTGGCACATCAAATACAGGAGATGGTTTGTCGTAATTGTAGCCATTGCCGACAACATGCGACACATCAGCCGACACCATGGCGATGGCACAGACAGCAATCAAAAAGAATTTCTGAGGTCACATGAAAAGAGAAAAAAAAAAAAAAATTCTTGATTAATTTGAAATCTTGACACAATTTTCGTTTAAGGTCACTGCTACGAAGGTCCACTACCTCCCAATGACCGGTTAATTGGTTTTTAATTAATTCATCTCTTCTGCCAAATATTCAAAATAAATTCCATAGGCCGATTTCAGTATCCATATCTCATTGATTTCACCAGACTTACCATTGTTTCGACTTGTTGAGGTATTCCAAAACTTTTGGATTTGATATCACGACAAGCGCAGACTAGCGAATGATGACATTATCCAACTTACAGTGCATATTTATAAGCGAATAGTTTGTTTTCTTCTTCTTCTTGTTGTTCCCATCAACATCATCTCTTGTTGTCCGATGTCAACCAATAAAATCTTGGCGTTGGCTAAATTCAATATTGTTATTTTAATATAAAATTATAAATTTATTCTGAAGCAACTGAAGTCAACAAAGATGCTGGTGTGGTGGATGCCTGCGGCAATGATGGCACTATCATGTCTGGCTGTTGGACGCTCTGCACTTGATGGGAGCCATAAAATAGCAGCAAAAGCAGCAGCATTGAATGGCATCTTCTTTACAGCACAGCAACAAAACATTTCGTCTTAATTCCATTAGGCATGGCGGTCAAGAAGCTGATATTTTTTTTATTATTTATATTTTATTGTTGTTGTAGTGCTACTGCCTGCCGTGTTTTTTATGTTTTGATAAACTTTGTATTTTGCAACTTCCAACATAAAACCTCAAACTTTTTGATATCACACGGACGCAGTCAACCACACAAGTCGGCTCAAACCAGTTTCAATCACTTGTGTTGTGTTGTTGTTGCTGTTTTTCTTTTCTCAGTTACACTTCTCTGTAAATTGTGAGATTTCTGCACACACACGTACAAACAACGACACACAAACTTGGTCACTTGGCCGAAGCTGTAATACCGGCATTCAATTCTTGTCGTCTCACTTTTCTTTTGGCTACCAAAGAAACAAACATTAAAACATAAAAACTTGAGTCGTGACTTGCGAGGAACTTGTTTCAATGTCAAGTTCAAAAATTTCTTGAAGTCAATTAGGCAGATTTGTGTTTGCTACAGTTGAGATAAATTACACTTTCAACAGGGGCGTAACAGGTGGCGTCTGAGTATACATACTCCGATGGGCCTAACGTGGATGTGATTAACTAATTGGTTCTGGGGAAATTGACCTTTGCATAACGGAAATGTACTACAAAATGTAATAGATTATGAAATAAGAGCTAAACAGAGAAAATATGGCGTTTTGAAAGTTAACATTGGGTGGAATTTCTCAAAGTGTGGATCTTCCCCCTCAACCATATTTTTATACCCGAAATAAGAGCTAAACAGAGAAAATATGGCGTTTTGAAAGTTAACATTGGGTGGAATTTCTCAAAGTGTGGATCTTCCCCCTCAACCATATTTTTATACCCGACACCACATAGTTGTAAGGGCATTATGTCTTTGTGCATTTGTGTGTAACATTGAGAAGGAAGCGAGATAGACCCATAGTTCCTTTTGAGGATCTCCATAGAATCACTTTCTGAGTTGATTTATGCATGTCAGTCCGCCTGTCCTTCCTCCGTCCGTCCGTCTGTCCTTGTATTCTTGTGAACAAAATGCAGGTCGCATTTATTATCCGATTGATATGAAATTTTCCCAAGGACGAACTCTATTGAAATTGGTGAGAATTAGTTGACAGTTAGATATAGCTTCTATATATATATTCAACCGATTTCGGGTTAATTGTGCACTAAATGGCCAACAACAGTCCAAATGACCTGAATTTTGGTACATCCGACCAAATTCTGTCTGGAAGCAAGCAGATCAAATTTAAAGAAGATCGGCTCAGATACAGCTATAGCTCCCATACATATATATTTCATCCGATTTGGTCTTTAAGTCCGTCACATTCGTAATATGCACTCCACAGTAATGATATTTGGTACCAGATATCAGATAAAGTTGATTTTAATTTTATTAAAATCTATTCAGATTTGGATAGTTCCCAAATTGTTGTTACGGGGGCTCTACTAAATACGCACAGCGGTGTAGGGTATAATATAGTCGGCCCGCCCGACTTTTAGTCTTTGCTTACTGGTTTAAAATTACGTGCTTCAGCTGGAAGATGAGAACACATAAAAAAAAACAAGTAACAAGCTGCATGTTCGGCAGGGTCGAACTTTGAATACCCTCCACCATTTGGAACGAATTTGGCAATTTTCAAAAAAAAAAAAAAAAATAAATAAAATGCGTTAAAAATTCTGTAAAATTCTTAAAAATACCGATTGAAGTAATATACAAATGCAAAACTTAAAAAAAAATCGGTTTAATAATTCAGCTAAAATCATCAAAATACCAAATATAGGAAGGTACACAGCACAGACAATTTTCGGTCATAGGCTGTAGTATACATTACGATGTACCAAATTTGAAACAATTCCGGGGAATAATGTCACAAAAATCATCAAAGTACCGAATATCGTCAGGTACCATTACATGGAGTCTATACGAAGACGTGGACCTGCACAGACAGTTTTCTGTCATAGGCTGTAATATACAAATTCGGAACAATTCCGGGAAATAATGTCGCTAAAATTATCAAAGTACCGAATATCGGGAGATACCGTTACATTATACGAAGACGTGGACCTGCACAGACAGTTTTCTGTCATGGGCTGTAATATCCATTAAGAACTTCAAATACCAAACTTGAAACATAATATCGCTAAAAGTACCGAATTTCGGGAGGTACCGTTATATGTTGGTTATACGATGGGGTGACAATTTTTTGGCATAACCTGTAGTATTCATTTTGAACTTCTAATACCAAATTTGAAACATTTCTGGTGAATAATGTAGCTCAAATCATTAAAATACCAAAAATAGGGAGGTACCATTACATGGGGGCTATACCAAAACGTGGACCAAAATGTCCATTTTTAATACCAAATGTCCTGCAGGCGAAATACATACATTCGATTAAAATTTTATCAACCTACTTCATTTCGTTCGGAAGCAGAGTGATTTTCACAGACCGATAGATGGACGGACATCGCTATATCGACATAGAATTTTATGCTGATCAAGAATATATGTACAGGGTTGCCCATATTCGACGGACCTTTGGGCCCATTCCAATCGACGAGGCTTGTCCGCAGGCAACATTCTTTGCGTCAATTGAATTTTGTACGGGAACAAATGCAAATCAATGCGAATAATCCGTTGTAGAGTGGACCGAGCTATGCCCAACTGCTGAGAACGGCGTTTTTGGGATGTTCTTGGGGACCTCTCAACACTGGCTCGTACGGCAGCGATATTCTCGGCCGATCGCCTTGGTCGACTTTTATATGGCCTCTTCGGACTAGAAAGAGCCCGACCAGTCGAAAATTTTTCGTATAAACGCTAAATGGTGTTCTTAGAAGTCGCACTTCTCACATTTTTTAATGTTTTAAAAGCACGTTGAGTATTCACAATTGACTTCTTCTGTTGAATGTAAATTTCAGAGCGCTCGTGTGGCGTGTATTGGTTCATGATAAAAATCTGCTTGGACTGACGCTTCAAACGCGGTATGTCATTAAGCGATGTGACATCTCTGTCAAAAGTTATGGCGTTGCCAGATGGGTCCGTCGAATATGGGCAACCCTGTATATACTTTGTGGGGTCTAAAATGTAAATTTCGAGGTGTTACAAACGTATGGACAAACTTAATATACCCTCCATACTATGGTGGAGGGTATAAAACATGAGCATTTCTTTGCAAGAATTACCAACTTGATATGATCTCCATACTAAATATTTTGAATTTAAAATAAAACAAGTAAGGAGAGGTTGTAGTCGTCCATGTGATACCCTACAACACTACAATATGTTAGAAGGCCCCTCATGTCCTAATCCATTTTGGAAAATTTCGCTTTTAAAATTATGTCACGGAGCACTGCCCAGATATTACCCTTAGCATTGTGACAAGGTACATTTTCCCAATATTTACGCACTCCGTCGTGCTGTTTGTTGTTGCTATCCATTTTACAGCTAAATATAATCCAATGGTCATCCAAAATGCTAGAACTCTTCCCTGTCCTTAACTTTCTTCTTAGGCGTGTCGATAGGATTCAATTGTGTGATCAGAATTTTTTTCTCGTTTTGGTTCAATTGAACCCCCAAATATTTTGTGATCATCTCCAGAAGTAAGAGGCCCCTCTTTATCTCCAAATTTTGACTCATCTATATGATTTTTCTGTCTACGACATTTGGATATATTCGTCAAAGAAATCGAAATTTACTATCGGCATCTACGTAACGGTCAGGATTGACCTGTTCGTCTATTGGCGATTTCACCGTGATTAAAACTTGTCGCGGTTTAACGGAAAATTTGCCTCTTATTTAACACAAATGTTATGGTCTATTTCACCCACTAAATATTACCCGATGACAATCCAAATTGGAAGGCTTCTGCCCCATCCTAAGCTCTAACCCCATGCTAACTTCCGTCGATTGGTCTATAATTGACCTGTAGATTGACCCCTAAATATTTTGCGATTATCTCCAAAAACAATAGGCTTCTATTCAGGCCCAAACCCCACCCCCATTTTCAGGATCGGGCCATAATTGCAATCTGTAGCGTGATTACAAATTAACATGTACAGATGGACAGACGGACGGACACACATAGCTAGATCAACAAAGCTCAGTGAGATAGGAAGATCCATATATGGTTTCTTATATCGGGGGCCAATATTTCGAGGTGTTACATAATTTTTGGCCCAAACAAATTTATAATACCCCCAACACATACTGTTGTAGGATATAAAAATCGAACTGCACATGATGATGATTTAGATTTCAAATGGTATTGGAAAAAATTGTAAATAAAATGCTCAAATTATGTTATGGCTAAGACACATCATTCAATAGAGGCCCTCTTTTAAAATCGCTTTCGTCCCCTACAAACATCCACTTCAACACCCCATCTGGAACTTCACAAGTTTAAATGCATGTAATGTCCGAGATTAAAGACGTTATCACGTTAACGATCTTCTTTTGTGGCTTTTATGGCTTGTATCTCCTTATGTCCAATTTAAATAATTTGTTAAAAATTAATCAAATATTTTTGATAATCTTCACAAACCCGATTGTAACAAACAAACAAACAAACAGAAGCAAATCAACGCGATCATAATTTGTTGTTTTGTATTTGCCATCTCGAGTTGCCTTTTATCAGCATCACACGCAAACGAATTGACAGACCTAGACAAATTAAAGACGCTTGTGCCACATCGTTGTTATAATGCTATTGTTATGCCGTTATAATTTACATACAAACAAAAATGCGGCGATACCTTTCACTCTATCCAAAATACAAAAAAAAAAAAAAAAAAA